AGGACCAAAAGATAAGCTGTGAAGAGATAGGACACCTCCTGATCCTCATGGCAACACCTATGTTGCTGCAATGTGAGCAGATGCTGGCTGATGGAGTCTGAGGATCTGAAAGACAAATGACAGTCATTCACACAAGCTAGAATTTTGTCATTCAGTCCAGACCATTCAGAGTGTCTTAAGAATTTACCTTGTTTCTCAGCTGCTTTGGCAGGTCTTACAGCTGTGAAGTGCTTGGACTAAGACCCAAATGGTGCTAAGATCCTTATGCAGGAAATTCTGTATACATACATTTAATTTTAATAACAGGACTTGGCCCATTGCCAATGAAAACCAGTTCAGGCCTCAAAGTCTGCCATGCTTTAGAAATATTAGGAAGTGCCTAGCAGTGAGATGCTAAGGTGCTCAGTTCATTCAACCAATGATGGCCCTCCAAGCACTCTTGACTCTTGGAGAACTCAAGTTTTGAAGGAAAGCAGTCAGTCCCACAGCTACCACACAAATTTTAGCTTCCAGGTATGTCTTTCCAAAACACCAGATGGCAAATATGGTCCATTTGAACACATGAAGCCTGACCTAGAGCAGAAATTTGATAACCAAGAAACTAGAAACTGTTATCAAGGCAAATTACTGCAATTAACATTGCTTGACATATCCTACCAGCTGCTCCCATAAGAAACAAATAACTAGGGAAGGAATTTTTTCAGGAACACTCAGCCCAAGTCTTACTCAAAATCAGGAGAAGCTTTATTGTAGAAGGCTGTCATAATTGCACACTATTTTAAGATTTCAAGGCCCTCTTCTGTTTCTCACAACATTATAAAAAGTCATGCAACAATGTACAGTACTACTGTGATTTCCATGGATGCTCTCTGTCCAGGTGTATAGACCACAGAGAAGGTTTAGGGAAAGCTGATTTAGGTGTTTTTTAAAATAAGAGAAGTTAAAACTGGAAACGATACAATTTTTAATAAGACTTTCTCAAGTATATGTAGAAACAGGAAAGAAAAATTGTGTAATTGAACATGGATATTGATCTAGTTGTAAGCTATATTAAAACAATTGTGCTGAGAACATTACCAGTGCAATTTTCAAAATCCCTCCGTTTTGGCCCAAACCCATGTTGGTGCAAGGAACTTCATCATTTACTTGGCTGACTGTATATTTAGGCAAAGGCTAAGTAACATCCTAGATTACATGGTGATGCTGCATTGTTAGACTCAACCACAATCAAAGTAACTCCCTGATACTCTCCTTTGACGTGTGCATGACATCATGACACTCTTTTCACAGCAGAGATTCATAGTCCTTTTAGGCATACATCCTTGCTGGCAGACCCTTAAGTAAAAACAGTTTAACTAAGAATGAGACTTTCAGAGTTATTTTCAGTTATTTCTAGTCTTGAGTCAAAGCAATTGAGGGGGTTAGAGTGAGCTATAAAAATAGTACTTTTGTCAAAGTAATGCTGAATGGCTATTATAGCATTTATTGGATTCTCCAGAAACTGCCAGCATTTTCAAAAGGAAGAATTGTTGATTCTGAAGAAAATATTCAAGCAGCAGGAAAAAAGGACAGTATGAGGTTGATGCTCTTACCTTTTTGATGTGATCTCTTTGGAACATCTTGGTCTGCTACAGCTGTTTTTCAGCTTGCCAAAATCATCCCCTGTTTATCTCCCTTCTTGTGCCCTTCAAAGAAAATGCATGTACTATGAAAAGCACTGACAACCTCGGAACACCTCTTCATCACTTTCACATTTGTCAGCTGCCTACATCTTCAGTCTGTCTCCTGTGTGGTGAAAGGCTGTAGTGGAGATGCTTCCTATGGATGCACTATAAAAGCTGGCCTCCTGCAATGTAAAGGAGCTTGTCAAAGCAGGGAAAATGAATCTGGGCATTTCTAACTGCACAACAGATCTGGCTAGAAGACTGCAAGAAGGTAGTGTGCGTGGAGACAGGGTCAGGAAGTGGTAAGATGTAGTACATAAAACACTGCTGTGCTTGTATGCTTCACTTCACACAATTAGTCCATTGACTGAATTGGCAGAAGCTGAACATCACTGAAAGGATTAGTTGTGCTAACATGGTATAAACTGAAATTACATCTCAGTGTCTTAGATAAACACACTATAAGCAGCAACAAATTCAAATTTTGGGTAAAGAGCTCTTCAACTGCTGACTTAAAATATATGTGTGTATAGATAGCTATCTTAACTAAAATATATGTGTGTGTCTCTTCAGGGTACTCTTTCTTTCCTCTATAGTTTTCTATAAAGATGCATCTTTATAAACACTTTGAGTCAGTAAATTAACAGAGCAACTTTGTCCTTTGAACCATTCTCATAATAAGGAATTGAGGCCATGGGGATTTCCACCTTCTTCACAGGAATTTTACCATCACAACTGGAAGCATCCTGACAACAAGCATTCATTACTTGCCCTCTGTTGCTGGATCTTATAAAATTGCACTGGTGGCTTTTGTGGCATTGCCTTACAGTGACTGACATTCAAATATACAGCTGTCACTGTACTACTATCTCATGGGCATGCTTGTGAAAGCAGTCCCAATCCATGTCAGTGCCAAAAAAAGCAGATTATTCTAAGTCAACACTGAAGGTGGCCACAGCTAAGGCATCTCAGCTGCACAGACAAGTACCAGAAAGCCAAGGATGGTAACTCCTCCTAACAACCGTTCTGTTGATTTCACCAGACCAACACAGTTTCACACCAACTGAGAGAGAGCCTGAGATGAAGAGAAGACAAACTGAAATGTCAGGTTTTTTCCAGGAACTGACAAAAACGCCTCTGTATTTCACAGCAGTCAGCTGCATCAAGTAGTATTAGTTTCTTTGCAAAGAGAAACTGTAACGAATATGCAGCAACTCGCCTGATGGCTGAGGGAAAGGACGTTAATTCTAAAAAAACTTTCATTTTCAAAAACATCTTCAACCTCAGCTCAACCTGCTAGCCCAGCCAGAGGTCAGCCCAGCTCACAGAGGTGCTTTTCACTTGCTTTCAAGGAGCCTGAGCCCCCCCAAATTATATGGACACAGAAACAGGTTCTGTTATCACTGTAAGCACTGTGGAGGGTGCTGCACCCGACCACAGGGAGTGACAAAACTTGAGAAAGTTGGTTGGTTTGAAATTTTGGATGGTATGCACCCATCACTGCTTCTCACCAACATCTGGAATTTTATCTCTGCACAGAAATGTAATGTATTTCAAGTCCAAATTTTTGACTTTCAGAAAACACGCTGAGAATTTGTGCTGAAGAAAGGGACACAAAACAAACTATCTCCTCTGAGCTCCACACTTTCCTCACTCTTCATGCCAAGGACAGTAAATGGATGGCAAAAGCACAGTCACATTTGCAGAGGCAGTGATCTTTCAACACACATGGTACGACATTTGCAGAGGCAGTGATCTTTCAACCCACATGGCACAGGCAATGCCAAATAATTCCATGATTCAAGTACTTTCTGCCATAGCTTCTTATTGTAGGGGTAACTCAGACTGGCAGCTCCCATTTTAGCTCACAAAACCTTTTGAAATTCCTTTTATTTTTTTTTTCAATAGAGGCAATGAATGGCAGAAGCTGCAACTAGTTTTTGTGTAGGTGTTTGAAACATCTTCATTGAACAGCAGCACACGTCTTAGTGAGATTTCACTGGAATTATATTAATCTCTGAAATGAACTGCAGGGAGGAGGAAACAGATGTTTCACCCAGACTTTAAGTGCCTTACAAAAATAGAGAAAGACATTCTGCAGCCACTTGGCTTTTGTCTTGAACTTTTTAATTACAAGGACTGTGTATAACACTGCAGACAAATTAGTCTGCTTTAAATGTTGCCCCTTAGCCCTTCAACAGAAGCTCAAACCACCCAGCAGAATGGGACATGTCACAGGGGATTAGAATCTAGTCTCACACAAGAGTTTAAGGTGCATGTGCACTTTATGCACAATGCAAAAATTAAATGACATTTCTCTTTAATGCCAAACCATGATTTCTCAACAACTTCTCAGCCCAGTTCATCTGCCCAGGACTGAATTAAACAAAAGAATAAAGGAAAGCCTGTCTGATAAACTGACTGGGTACACCTTCATAACCTTCCTGTATTGTCCTCTGTTTAAAAAATCCACCACTGCTCCCTCTTGGGTTGACACACATCACAAACAAACCACTTAAAATCTTTACATCTGGTTTGCAATTTGCAATCCAAATAAATGATTGTTAGAAAATAGCATCTAGAATGAAAATGTTAACTGCTAATACTTGAAGACAGTAGACAACTTCTTGTAAAACACTTCATTTCCTAATCTTTGATCGCTGAGTCATTCTCAACAGAAAATCTTACTTATATTGTCACATACTCTCAAAGAGAAAAGTGTTGATATCTAACCCTGCCCACAGAAAGACAATTACACTGTTCCCCTCTAAAATTAACAATTAGTCTGATCATCTTGCCAATGGGTAACAACAACTATCAGAAGGAGACTTAAAAAAACACTAACCAAAACAAGAGACCCACAAAACCATTATCATTCCTGGAAATAGATGTTTTTGTCTTGTGAGGGAACTGAGAATTAGCAGAGTCATTCAGGAAGTACCTCACATTCAAGATACTGCTATAGGCTTCTCATTTTTTCAAAAAAAAAAGCCATAACTTTTGCCTTGCTCTGAACCCCACTGCTGCTAATTTCATTGGCTTCCTCTGAGCAAGGTAAAGCAGTAACTTTACTTAACAGGACCATCTGCCACTTTAGCTGAGTTCTGAGGTCCATGTGTACTTGTGTCAGACCGTCCACTTACATGGGGTCTCAATGCTCATGAAGACTT